AATTGAGAATGAGCAGGGCACCCACTTTACTGGACATACAGTCCAGGAATGGGTGTGACAGCTGGGAATCAAATGGAAGTTTCATGTGCCACACAATCCTACTGCAGCAGGCATGATAGAGAGGCACAATGAGTTGTTAAAATCCGGACTAAAGTCAGATACCAATAGTCTGCGAGGATGGTCACTCCACCTATGGACCATGCTACGGCGTTTGAATGAAAAACCCCAAAAGGGAGCCCTGAGCCCTGTAGACATGTTAATACAAATGGCTGCCTTCCCTATACAAGTGCAATACAAACCAAGGAAGAATCACTGAAGCCAAGGTTCGGCCACCAGAATAATATCTTGCTGCCAGCACCAACTGCACTGAACCCCAGAGAATCCATTGAGTGGATGTGGCCTTGGACCTTTCAACACATGGACCAACGGTGGCTGGCTCTCCTGGCACCTTGGGGACAAGACCTCTTGTGTGTTCCTGGAATAACAGCAGAGTGGCCCCTAAAGGTCACAGTAGTATATCCTGAATGGCCAGAAGGTAGGAGCATCTTACCGGGGAGTTTTGTTTTATCATTATGGCCACTGCATGCACGTCCAATAGAACTATATATATAGACCCTTCATTAACCATCACGGGGAAAGGAGTAAAAGTATGATATACTAGACCTGGAAGGGACCCCCTTCCTGCTACAGTCCTATCACAGAACCACTCTCTTGCATGCATCCTACCTGATGGACAAGATTTGCCTATGCTGGTGTCTTTAAAATGTGTCTTATCACCCCTAAAGTCTTTGTAGATTGGGAACTTCCTCTGGCTTGAGGATTTCTATAATTTTTGTTACCTGTATCAAAATCTTGTTCTATCTTACTTTTTGTTATTATCTCTAAATTGTTTTTATCGTCTGTTGCTGTTGTGGAATCTGATTACAGTGCTCCAGATTTCTCACACAGGGACCATTGTGGAAGATTGAGAGCATGTAGATTGTAGGCGAGAATCCTGGAGGGGTGGAGTGTGGGTAAATTGGGGTTCCTATGGCCAGGATCCTCACTGAACTTAAACCACCTGATGATGTAACTGGCCTGTTGCTAGGCTACCTCTTCCACACCTTTAGGCAATAAGCTATTATTGTACTATATGGAGGGCTCAGCCCACTGCTCTGGGCGGAGGCAGAGATGCTAGTGCTCGACCTACCGCCAGGAGAACAAGCCAGGTAATAAATCCTTTCACTGCAAAGAAACGTTCTACTGTCATTTCTTTGGTCACACTGAATCCACAGCAAACTTGCTGGGGGCTGAAACCCATCAGCCAGACAATATTCATGTAGAGTTTTTTTTCCCACTTAAAAAGCTTCAAGTAGCTTCTTGGAAAAAAGATTAACTTCCTTGCTTTATATTTTTCTAAACATTTCAGGTTTTTTAAAATAAGATGTATTGTTTTTATAATTGGAAAACTACAAAGATATAAATTCTAGTGATATTAAAATCTTACTCATTTAAAAATGAAAACTAGTGTCTGAACAACACCCTCTTACAGTTTTGTTCATATTGGAGTAGTCTGTGAGCAATTATATTATTTTCAGTGAAAACTTTTGTAAGTGTGAGTTAATTCATTAACACCTGTGTTATACCTGAGTGAAGACTATTTTATTAGTCCACAAAGTAAATACATATAAAACATTCATGTGTGCTTGACTTCCATGAGCAATGGACACATGCATAGAACTAAAAAGCTCACTAACTGTAGAGTTTGGCTCTCTGAGACTCTTGAAAACAGGTTGCTTTAATACTGGCTTTATCAATGGTAAGTGATGGTTAAGTGGCCTACTGTGCTCGGTGTAGGACTAACCCTATCAATGAGTGAGCTGATCAATGAGTGAGAGATGCATTTACTTCTCTACCATTAGCAGTCTTCAACATGAAACAGCTAACAATAGGACCTATATAATGAAAACTGAGATAATCTGAAAAGTTTCAGGAAAGATTAAGGTAAAGCTTATACTCTAAGTATACCCATAAACATTTCTATACATGCAAATTATTAAATACCTTCTCCTGTCCTATGAAGTGCTTTACATCAAAAATTATGTTTTTAATATTTATGTTTATTCATTTTAGCCTGAAAGTAAACACAAAGTTTCTGGAGCAGAGATCCGTAGTTATTACCTGCATTAAGAAATGCAACATTTTTCCCACACCTAATATGCCACAAGCATCGTAATGAGAGCCAGTTGGTTAGCCATGCACATAGAGCGGTTTAACTACAGGGAAGTTTCCAAAATTATTAATCTGGGAGTTTGTATAGGATAGCTGAAAGGAAGAAAAGGCTAATCTCCCTAATTTAAGCAAATTCTCAAAGGTCCCTGGGTTCTTACTCTTTGGAATGTAAATAAAATTCTCCAGGGGAAAGATAAACCACTGGGTTTACAAGCTCAATCTCAGAAATATCCCAAGGCTTGGAGTTTTATACCCTTTGAAATATAAAGTTCCTGGGCATTCTCTAACAATCTATTCAGTCATCTTTTAACTCCCAAGGCTTACCCTTCAACCCAGGTTCTTGTTTTCTTGGCTTAGAAAGCCCTGACCATGCAGAAACATGAAAATATTCACCTCTTAATAATACAAAGAACTAATCAAAATGTATTTGCAGCACTCATTGATACCCAACACCTCCTTCAAACCCTTTTCTGGAGAGCCCTGGTAATTCCTCATGGGTATCCCAGAAGTCTCTTTTCAAAGGGGCAGTTAAAGTAGTGGTACAGTGTGAGCAGAGCTCTGGAGCCCCAGTTTATGCTTCAAACACAGCCCATCTGCTCTTATATTTGGGGGTTCCTAGTACAGTTTTAGGGAGGTGAATCTCTACCAAAAAAAAAATTTTTTTCTTAATCTACTGAAAAAAGAAACACCACGGGGCAGCCAGCATACTCTCACATCCGTCATCCAAGTTCTTTGCTTTTCTACTTCCAACAAAAAACTTCCTCTCCTTCCGTCATCTCTCTCCCCTGAACTCACTCCCATTCAAATAAATTCAATATAAATACATGTCTCAGACCCACTGTAACTCCCAGAGGAAAATATGTTCCCACCCCGGGAGCAAAGAACCTGTGAAGCCAAAATAAGTCAAAGGGAGAAATAAAGTAGAAGAAACCGATTTATTGCTTACAAGCAGTTATCTACTTGTGCTCACCCATGTCTCTAAGTGACCTGGCTGTAAAAAGACTTCAAAAATACCTCTCCAGCCCAGGTGCACACTAGCTCCCCACACCCCTTGTAATCACCTATTGATACAGAGATGGACTATTTCTCTCCACCCCTTGGAAACACCTTTTGATATGGAGATGCACTAAAGCCAGGCTAGATTCTGGAAATACTGCAATTTTACCCACACCCACCAGTTCAGGCAGCCAGACTGCACGTCCCAGGCTAACAACTGGGAAGATTCTAGCTACATTTATAAAAATTCAATATTAAGGTTATACCTACTTATCTTCAAAGCCAAAATAATATGCTATAACAGTACCACTTTCAAAATTGTAAATGCTTATTTATCTATCGCATTTTTCAAAGGACAGACTGATTGTCAATTCATTTTTCTTAAGAAAAACAACTGCCTGGGATTCAAGAAGCCTGTGATCTGGTTCCACCAGTGCTTGCTATGTGAACTTAAGTCACCAAACTTCTTTCAGCCAATTTCTTATCAGTAAAAAGGCAAATGGCCTATTCTTAGAAGAGATCCATGTAGAATCTGGAGTTTTCATGTATTATTAAGAATTTACTATCTTCCTCAATCCGCATATACACCTGCAAAGGTGATGAAGGGCACACTGTCGTGCATAACACAGCCGTCAAAAATTTCTAGCTGTACTTCTTTCCCTCCCCCACTTCAAATAGCAAGATATCACTACAGGGAAGAGCATTTAGAAGTGTAAGCCAAATGACAAGACAATTTACAGTATTTTAATCAGTTCTGCAAATCATTTTCCAGTTACAAAAAAAAATCAATGAAGGTAATCATCTTTTTTGGGGATCCTTCCACCCAAGAAAGTAGATTGGTTAATGATATAAAAATTATGACAGGTGAGAATCACTGACCAATATACTAGGACCCATTCATTCATTAATAAATATTTAAATGCCCAATTATTAGGCATTAAGCTAAGCACCAAATATAATGTGCAGAAAGGTGAATTTTTGTCCAGGTCAGAAGTATATAATAAAGTGGATAATCTGGGGTCCTCCTCAGGCCTTTACTGCATCACAAAACTACCCTTTAGGCTATGATTTCATGACTCCTAAAGTTTTCTATGATTCTGTTTCCTACAACCTGATTTCAGACTCATAGACTATCATTCCCAATTCTGAGGCAAAATTCTATGAAACTGCAGAACATCTAAATTCTATCTTATAAATGAAATTGTGGGACAAAAGTCTGGTACAAAAGCGTGTTTTATTATACATGAGGTGTCATTCTTAATTATCACACTTTTTCTTTGTAACCAATAGTCTGCGAAACAATCAAGATTTTAATCGATTTGGTCAAATTCTGCTCATCAGTGTCTCTGCTCCTTGACCGGCTCCAATTTAACAAAGCCAAGTACAGTCCGACATTAGTTAGCACAGCCTCTCCCCAAGTTATTTAGAACTGCAGTCTGAAATCCTTCCTGAAATGCGGCCGGCTGTACATCTGTAAAGTTATTTAAACTTGGAGGACTAGAGGGTAGGGTAAGCTGAGAGGCGAGGCACCCTCTCAGCAGGATCGCTCAGAGGCCGGACCCGCAGCGGCCGGCTCTCGGCCCCTGGCCGCACGCCGAGCAGGGGGACCCCGGGGCGGCCCGACAGCCAGCAGCTGCTAACCGCACGGGCCCGGGAGGCGGGAGAGGCCAGAGGGCGGGCAGCCGAGGCAGCAGAGGCTTCAGGAAAGTGCGGGCGCTCCCCTCAGGACGCCGCCCGAGGGGAAGGCTGGGGCTGGGTGCCCTTCGCCGCCCGCACCGAGAGTCGGAGGGTACCTGACTGCAGCCGGCCGGTCCACAGCCCCTTCCCGCAGTCCCGGCAGAGAAGGCCGGTTCTCCGCAGAGCCGCGACCCTCGCCAGCGCCGCCAGCATCGTGCGCCTCTCAGAGATCCTTGCTCCCTGAGAGAACGCAGCGAGCGCGGCCCGCAGCCACTGGGGGGCGCCCGCGAGCCCTCATACTCCAACCCGTCCGCCCCGCCGAAAGCTCAGGTCCCGATCACCCTTCGAGCAGGCGACTGGTGGGTCAGGCCCAACCAAAGACCGCGAGACTGCAAAGGCCACTGCTAGGGCTGGGTGTTCGACCTCTCCTTTATCCTTTCTTCCTCCTTCCTTCACTTAGATCATCTCAATCTCCACTCAAGTTTTTAAAAAGCCACAGATCCTCCTCCCCCTGGCGGAACCTCTCTGACGCCGGAACCAATGTGCTGTGTTATGCCGGCGACTAGAGGACTGTCTTAGCAAAGGACCACCAATTCTCTGTGGAGGTTTGGTCGCGGCGCTTCCGGCGGGAGAACGCAGCCGTGAGGTTTTCGTCGTCGTCACCGTCCCCCGATATGCACCGCCCGAATTTTCGACCCCCAACTCCTCCTTACCCCGGCTCGGGTGCAGGAGGTTGGGGTAGCGGAAGCAGCTTCCGAGGCACCCCGAGTGGAGGCGGACCGCGACCTCCCTCCCCTCGGGACGGGTACGGGAGTCCGCACCACACGCCGCCGTACGGGCCCCGGTCTAGGCCCTACGGGAGCAGCTACTCTCCGCGACACGGCAGCAGCTTACCGGGGGGCCGTTTCGGGTCTCCGTCCCCTGGCGGCTACCCTGGCTCCTACTCCAACTCCCCCGCGGGGTCCCAGCAGCAGTTCGGCTACTCCCCAGGGCAGCAGCAGACCCGCCCCCAGGTAACATAGCCAGCGTTGGCCGAGCTCTTACTGTATGGCAGGCATGGTGCTAATAACCCTTCACGTGGGCGACCGCGTTTCATCCTCCGTGAGGTGAGGTACTGTCGTTAGACCCGTTTGGCAATTGAAGAAACTGAGGCTTAGAGAAGTTAAAATTATTTTACTTAGATTACCCTAAAAAGTGTCATAGAGGACACTGCCGCTCGTCCACCGATTTCCCTAATCACCCCTCTTTTGCCAGGGGCCTTGACAATTGGTAAAGTATCCTAACTTCCGGTGTCCATGGGGGAAAAGATCGAATGAACTGCCACAGTTCATATGGGTTGTGGGGTTATAGACTGGTGCCGTCTTCATACTACTACTGGCAGCCGTGTGTGTGTAAGGATTTATTCAAATTACACTGACTTCTTGCTCCCACGTGTGTGTGTGTTGGGAAGGATTTATTCAAATTACACTGACTTCTTGCTCCCACGTGTGTGTGTGTGTGTGTGTGTGTGTGTGTGTGTTGGGAAGGATTTATTCAAATTACACTGACTTCTTGCTCCCACGTGTGTGTGTGTGTGTGTGTGTGTGTGGTGGGTGGGAAGGATTTAGTCAAATTACACTGACTTCTTGCTCCCACGTGCAGGTGTGTGTGTGTGTGTGTGTGTGTGTGTGTGTG